GAACTGGCAGGTTTCAGGCCCTCTAATTGGCTTCCCAGCTTTGCAGAGTAATTACAGCTTCAAGCAAACTTTGTCATCTGTGGTTCAGAATGGTGTAAAGTAAACAGAACGTTTTGAAATACGTTTTGTAGTTAGAGTTGCTCAGGAGAGTTTAACTAGCATAACTATTTAATTTAGATAGTAGCAGTTATTTAAAAAAGATACCCTAGCATTTTAGAATTGTCAGCTAGGTTGTAGGTATGGAGACAAGTGTTAACCTCTGGTATGTACCTSACTTTGTTTGGTTTTGTTTTTTAAAAGGAGAATTTCAATAATTGAGAAACATCCACTGCATTTCTTTATACTGTTCTAATTTATTTTTTTTTCCATTCTTTGTATAAATCCAAAAATGGCCAAAGGAGTGCTATGCACTCATTGGAACAGYGTTGTCATTCTCTGCTACTGTTTTTGTATTTTGCTGCTATGAACAARTGTTCTCCCCCAAGGTTTTTCCTCCCCTCTAATATTAAAGGAAAAATTCTCATGACCGATGTTTCATCCCAGAAAAGCAGAAAGCTTTAGGAATAAAATATGTAATTCCAAGTTGTAGATGGCTAGCATACAAGAACACAAAGTTGAGTCTGTCTGTTTACTGGCTTACTCATCTTTTTGAATGATAATTTAGACTTCCAACTGTTTTGAGTTGAGATTCAGTCCTTTAATTACATATGTTTATGTATAGTAGCAAACTTGAAGACATTATGGTAGAATGTTCTCTACTCTTGGTAATGACCCAACTATCACTCGAGCATTCGGAGCCAGCTCTCAGTAGCCAGTTTCACTCTTTCTTCTGTGCTTTTGTATTTTCCAAACTATTCACTCTGTCTGAAACTACTATGGTTTTTCCACTAATTAGTAGAAAAATATTTTGGTAATTAGCAGTAACTGTGTATTACAGCACTTATTCATCTTAATAGATTTTTTTCCCCCAGTAGTAGGTGAAAGATAGTCACAGAGAAGTTTTCATTCRTGATGAAGTCATGGCAGGAATACTGTTTATCCAATACATTTGTGCACATCAGCACATGAAACATGGGTGGGGCTGATAAATATCAGCAAACCAGTTATTTTTATCTACTTGAAAAGAATTGGTGGTACCCCCATTTTGGRAATACACTGGTCCTCCACTTCTTTCTGAAACATTTTTTGCTTCATAAGGAACAGATATGAATGCATTCAGTTTTAACCTTCCACAAGGAAATCAAATCTTTAGCCACCTATAACAGAATATTACCAAAGCTAATTAAGTTTTATTAGATTTTATTTTTTCAATAATATCTTCCAATGATAGTGAAATGACATTTTTGGGGGTTATTTGTTTGGAGGTTTTTTTTATGTTTTCCACACCATTTTCAATTCTTAAGGGTTTTTTTCTTACCTTTCTTACCTTAATTGATTTAGTTGCTAATCTGTAATGMAAACTCAGAGTAAATGCTCTTTTATAGCCACAAAGCTTAGTATATGTATCCATATGTTTTGTTCTCGTTAATAATGTGCATAGCCACTTTGAGGACTGGCTGAAAAAAAATAATGTAAGTAGAATATTAGATACAGATTTCCATAATGTACATACCAATGTATATAGTCATAATACTATATAGAGTATATAATATATGTATATATAGGTAAAGACCATATTATAGAGAGCATTTGGACATAGGTGGGTATCACGTTATGAGTCCCATTTGTTCATACTTGAGTTGGAAAACTTAATGCAATTTAAATGTATGCATTTAAACAATATTTGCATATTTGTATATATTTGCAAAGAGAAAAAAAATGCCGGAATTCAAAATCTTCAGTTCCATCACAGGTAMGGAGAGGATATGCTTTTTGATTGGTACAGATTTTTCTGCACATTTGTCTCTGCACCTTTTTTCCTTCAGATTGTCCTAATCTCACTTTTCACCTCACTTTCTTCCCTGGCAGCTTTTTTTCACCTTTCTTTCTTCCTCTAAGCTCGGTACTCWAGTTTAGCTATACTCCAACTATCCCCATGCTTTTCTTTCTCACATAGGTTCCAGTCTTTTTCCTGTCCTATTTCCACTTTTCTCCCTTCATTCCCTAGTCTTTTGTTCCTAACAGCTCTCCTGTAAATAACTTACTGTATGCCATCATTCAGCATTGGATTTTGCCTCAATGAGGTAATTTCTTTTTCATACTGTCTGAGGAAGAGGATAAGGCATTATGAATATAAGTGAAATGCTTTCAAGTTAGCATGTGTAGAGGCAGGAGATAGCTGTAGCCTCTGGATTATTCTCGATGCATAGATTTTCAATGACTTTAYGCTTTAGTAATTGTTATTTTAATTTTTTACCCTCCTCCCACTGCACTCTTATCCCTCCCACATGTAGTGTGGCCAGATGCCTTACATTTTCGCAGGAATGCTAAAAGGATATCAAAGGTCTTGATTTGCCAAGTTTTAAGTCTTGTCTCCAAAAAGCAGCATTCTCCAGCAGTGTGCAGCTTTAGGCAGACACCCAGTAACAAAAATTTCAGCCTACATGATTGAAGTGTGATAGGATTAAAGATGAGAGGATGGTTTTGTTAGGAATAAGATAAGATAATCTTAGAGCAGACAATGCTTCTAGTCTCTTCTGTTAGGAAGGTAACCCCACACGTTCCTTAGAGCTGCAGCTGAGGAAGTTAAAGAGACTGTTAACCCTACTTTCACCGTCACTGTGATCACAGTTGGACCTCAACCATGTCCCTGAAGACGGGGGTTTCTTTGATCTCATGAGCAATTGCACCCAGATACAACCCTGGTTAGGTACCCTAAGCAAYTCTACTTCATTGGGGTTCTGTCTTCCTTGTTTCCCTTCCAGCTTTGGTGTTAAATTACCTCTTCCCATGTCCATCGTGCTGTAGCTCTTTCTTTTACATKTTGAGGATGGTTCTCATTCCATCCAGGACCTAGCAGAGTGTGTGTAAGCAATAAGGGTGAACTGCTGTGTCGGTCTCTTAATGAAATGTTTGTTAAATGGAATGTCATCCTTTGATGGGTTAACAGTCAGAAACAGAACATAGAAATGAACAGAAATTATTATTACATAATAATTTATAGATGCATGGTGAACATGTTCATATACATCTGCACAGGAGAATATTTACTCCTCTTTTGGTCTTTTTTACCTGTGTCTGTCAAGCTCCTGAGGTGCTCTGCTAAGCTGCAGAGAAGAATACTATCGATAGACAGATCCACTTGCACTCATCTTTGTTTTTTCAAATAAAAAAAAAAACACAGTGGATGATAGTTGAGGTCTCAGGGTCCTGAATTTGTGAAGAGAAAATATATCAAGCCAAAATAATTTATTTCTGTGAAAGAAAAGCATGCCTTGTTAAGTGGTACATGTCATATGACTTTTGTAAAGCGTTGACATTAAGTGGAATAAAGARTAGTAAGCTGCATAAGTAAAAGGTGTGGGTCAACTGGTAGGTGGTAGCTATATCAAAAAGAAGTTACAGCAGATTGTAGGTGAACAGGAATTCAGTTACCATATCATTATTGATTGATTTGTGAACCTGATGAATCATTTTAGATCACACGCACACATTTRATCTGGATCAGCTTTGAACGAGTGATAATATTCCAGACATGAGATTTGATGGTTTGTGTCTACTTTGTGCGAGCTGCAGGAAAACAAGTAACACTTTTGACAGAGTAACCTGTCAAAAAAATATATTTGCATGAATAAAGAGTTCTAGTTGGTCAGAGTTTTGCAGCTGTAATGTTTGGTGCAGTATCCTACATCGTAGAACTGACACACAGYGTCCCTGAACCATTGCCTGAATCGCCAGTGTTGTCTTGCAACAGAGGAGTAATAGGTGGTCTCAATAAGTCTAGAATTATGAAATGGGAAGGATCTTGGATCTGAAAGCACAACTGGCGAGGACAGATCGATAGAACCGACTTGGAGAATGTTGAAGAGAGATGAAACAGTGTTCAAATGTCAAAAAGGGACAGCTGCTGAAAAGAAAGTAATTTGTCAAAAGGCAAGAAACAGCATGCTGAAATTATAGGAACAGTTGCATTAAATCATAAGAAAAGTCTTGCAGCTATAGAAACAGTTAGTTTCTTTATAGTTGGATGGAATAAATTGCTTACAGGAGTTTTGAAATTGATACTTTTTGGAGATTTTAGAAAGAGTTTAGAGAGATACAAGAAATAGTCTAGGTGGACCTGATTCTGCCCTTGGGCTCAAAGAAAATGAGGTAATTTCCTGAGGCAGCCCCACTGGGGGTGTGTGTGGGGTTGTTCTATGTTTAATAATCAGACTAATTTCAACATCTGAATTTTCTTAGCTTATTTTACAATAAATCGAATCCAGAAGTGACAGTACTATTGGTAATTGTGACATGGTTACTATTGGAGGGAAAATGTAATATTCCTCATATTCCTCATATTCCTCATATTCCTCATATTCCTCATATTCCTCATATTCCTCCTGCTGCGTGCAGATGGAAAAATATGCCAGTGGCTACTGCTGTTTCCTTGGCATGCTATAGCAATCCAGGATCTGATACTCTTCTTATTCTCATAACACAGACCAAGTTGACAAATGGAGATGGCACTCTTTGTATGGACAACAATACAATTTCCATCAATTCCTCTGACGCCTTTGTTTACCTTCTGATTATTACCTGCTCCCTTTTGTTCAGTGGTTGTATTGCTGTTCTGTATTTCCTTTTGTGTGCTGGATACATCCTGGATGGGGATACATAAGCTGAATGTATTTCATCTAAATAATTTTATTTGCTTTTCACCCATTAACTGACAGTGTATAAAATAAGCAATGTCATGTATTTCTCTAGAATGTCAGCTAATGAAAACAGAGCGACCAAAGCCAAACACATTCATCATCAGATGTCTTCAGTGGACCACGGTCATAGAGAGGACGTTCCACGTCGACACACCAGAGGAACGGTGAGGGTTTTGTTCTTGTTTTGATCCTTGCGCAGAAGCCTTAGCAGAGCCTCTGCTGGGCCTGCACAGCAATCAGCACTTGGAACTGTGACATTCTGAGCACATGTGAGCAGTTAGTTAAAGATTTTTAAGTTAGCTTCTGTAAAATATTATCTGAGCTCATAACTAGTGTAAGTGTTGCCTGTGAGTAGGTGGGATGAGTGTGTTCAAATAAGCCAAAACTATGTCATGATATGTGTCTGAAGTGTTAAATTTTGAACATCCAAAGCCTGGATTGAAATATTTCCAGCCTCGCTGTCTTACTCCTCCTAATGTGYTCCTTTCTTTTGGCACAGAAAGCAGCATGCTTATTATAATTTATTTTATGTTGGCTTATTAGTTTTTCTTGTTTCGGTAAACATTCACAAACTCTTTAGAATTAACTTCTTTAATGCACCAAAAGTTTTTTTAGTGCATGTAGGAGATGGGGGATGAGGCACTCMCATTTTCTATACTCTCTACGATCAGATACAGTGAATCTTCCCACTATGGACAWCTGTCCTGTTGAGATCAATGCTATCATCTGGCTGTTGTTGTTTGTATCACAAAACAACCAACAACTTCGCTATTTCTGATGTTTTTCTTAGAGGTTTTTTTTATTCTGCCTTGGTACTGTGCCTCCACCCTACCTTTCTTCTGGGCAGGGCTGTACCTCCCGCTGCTTTCAGTAATAAATACCATGCAAATATCCTGTATCCCTTGCTGGCTAAACAAAAGGCAGCAGGTACCGTGCTTGGAGTGGGAATATGGCCTGCTCAAGGGCTGCCTGGTGTGTCTGTGCTGCTCAGCTGGCCCTGCTTGTCCCACCACAGAAACCATCACGTGTACCTGCTCCTCAGTGCAAACATGGGTTTTTAGGGTGCTTGTAGGAATTCAGTTATCTTTGAGGGCCTTTCTTTGCAGGGAATTTGAGAAAAAGYCTGTAAGCTGAGTTTCAAGAGGAGACAAAGAGTTGTACACATGATGTGGTTAAATAAATAAATTTTTTTCCTGTGAAAATGTCTTCAATACTAAAAAGTCTCTCAAAATAGCAAGTTATTATGAGATATTATTGCAAAAGAGGGCTGTGCTCTCAGGTATATTATACTTGGAACAAGTGTTTTCAYGTTTCCACTAATAAAATACTTAGAGAATCAGAAACTGCCAATTCTTGAAATTACCCATATAGTGATCCTTTCTGGTCAACCTCATCACTTTCAGCAAAATGCAGAATTTGGAAGGAAATTGAAATGCTTAGCTAATATGAGTCTTCTGCTTTTAACATGAGAACTGAATCTTGAAGCAATGTAGCATGTGAAAACCTTATGAACTATGTAATGTATTTTGTGAGTTTCTAAAAGAGATGTTGGCTTGTTATGAACTATGTAATGTATTTTGTGAGTCTCTAAAAGAGATGTTGGCTTGTTATGAACTATGTAATGTATTTTGTGAGTTTCTAAAAGAGATGTTGGCTTGTTCATGATAGGGAAGAATGGACAGAAGCAATCCAGGCTGTAGCAGACAGACTTCAGAGACAAGAAGAGGAGAGGATGAACTGTAGTCCAACTTCTCAGATAGACAATATAGGAGAAGARGAGATGGATGCTTCCACAACCCATCATAAAAGAAAGGTAATGACCTTAGAAATTGGCAGGGCTCATACGTAAATAAYGTTTGTAGAATGGTCTAGCTAGGTAAAGCAATATGCAAGGAATAGTATTTCTATAAAAATTTCAGTGTATTATAAGCATCAAAATATTTATTTCAGTAAATCCGAACTGCTCTAGTTTTATTTATTTGGTATGCTCTCTGATATAGCACTTCAGAAAAATGAAGTTTAACCATTCAGGCACATGCTAACATTCTRCTTATTGTTTGACTATTATTTCATCCTTTAGTTTGTTTACTGTTTTAGAAGTATGGCAATAAAATATTTTCTTTGAACAAGTACATTTGCCCCTTTTCTCATGCAAATAATACCCAATACAAATCAGTTAATTTGCATGAGAATGGCTAGCAGGATTTGGCATTAATGACCTTGTTTTTTGCTAACTTGGGAAATAACTTTGTTTTCAGTGAAGTAAGAGAAAACAACATTTTATTTTTTTTTTGCAGTCCTTTACAGCTTTTGGTGTAAGTAGGAACACGTGCATTGTTGGCTATAACGTACTCAGGGTTGTATCTCCAGAGTCAACGGGTTAAACACACAACAACGTCTTTTAAAGATCTGATGCCACTCAAAAGTTTTCTTGTGTATCTCCATTTTGCCGTGCGTGGACTACTCTTGAAGAATGGATCATTCAAATGGATGTCRCTCATTTACTACACAGGGTTGACATCACTCAAGAAATGCACTGAAATTGCACAAAAAATAATAACCAGTTTCCATAGGACTGGCTTCACTTTTTCTGCTAGAAGTGGAGCTTGTAGAAAACAAAGTAGAAGTCTGTTGACAGAGCAGAACAGTCTTATAGCTCATGTAGCTGAATGCCTTTGAGTGATGGACAACACAAGAAATGGTGAACATGTCTTTATTAGCAGAGCATGTTTTGTTTGTTACTCTACAAAAAGTAAGAATCATAGAAAAAACCGGGCTAAGAACTTTACCCTTAAGCATATAACACAGGTGTCAGAGGTAATTTTAGTTCTATCATGTCCTAATTTTTGAGAACTTGAGTTTGCAGTCCAAACAGAATTCTTCTATGCAGTTTCACGGTATGCAAATTTTGAACCTTTGCCTGCTATACAAAAAAAGTAAAATCAGTTATATAGAGCTGTAACAGTACTCTGGACATCTATCATCAGGCTGACACTGAATTTTGAGCCTGGTGGCATGGATATTTAATGACTGTGTGCTCCAGGGTAAGATATGGTTAAGTAAGAGCAAGACAGAGGCAGTGTTTAAGATGTGTCAGCCTTGTGAGAGGCAGTGTGATTATGTGGAAGGGATTTGGGTTCGCTCAATTAAAGATCTGAGCACTATTCCAAGCCTGTGTATCCTCTTAGCAGAGTACAAAACCACTGTGTAACAAYGCTCATTTTCAAGGTGTCAAAATTAATGCTGCCTGATACAAATAGTTTATCTGGAATGTGCTATCCTTGTTTACAGTGTGGTGTGTTTTCCCGTACAACAAAAGAGGTTGTGGGAGCAGGAGTAGGAGGAGCAGTTTTGTTTYTGTCTTGCCCCTTGTGCTTTAAGAAATGCTGAAATAATATTCTGGGACAGTGTATGGGCAGTGCTACAGAATATTTWATGGCTTTGGCAACAAGCCAAAAGCAAAATCGGCAAAACAAAGGTGAAATGAAAAATGGTGATATTCAGCATCTAATAACAGATAAAAATAACAAAACTAGAWRTAATAATAATGATAATAAATAAAAAGATAATGAAATTTGAAAAGATAAGAAAATAATAAAAACAATGGAGCCAAAACTCAGAATCACACGGCTGATTTCTAACTGTTGGAAAGGTATTCAGAAGATTTTGGAATAAAAAATATTAAGTGGCCATTATGATGGGGAATTGCCACTGCTTCCATCTTAATTGAAATGTGAAAAAATATGTCTCTTTAGAACTGTTTCTGTTTTGTAGAAATGTTTCTGAAAAGCTGTTGTTTAAGCTTTCATAGTTGCTAATGTAATCAGAACCATTTCAGTTATAATGACTTAATGCATTTTTATTGGGTTTTTTTTTTGCATTGGATTTCTTTCTTTTCAGGGATTTTTACACAATGTGTCCTTTTTTGACAAAAGCTTGTTTTGTCACCTGATTTTACATCTAAGCCCAGTGAATCTTGCTTGTGCATGCACCAGATGGTATACATATGAGTAGAAGAGCATAATCAGATTAAGAAACAAGACAGAGAGGAGTTGGGCCTGTTCTTCTCTGAAAAGGTAGCGAGCAGAAAACAGCCTTTAGGATGTGTAGCTTGATTTGAATAGACACGACAGCTCTGTCCCTGGTTAGATTAGCTGGAACAACCAGAAGCACCTCTTTTTCCAATTTTTAAAATGGTGTCAATGTTCAATTTAAGTTTTATACATCACTATAATTTGTAATACTGGAAATTCTTAGCAAGCTGCTTTTATTTCTTGCTGTACTACTCCTTTTAAGTAGAGGTTTTCCCTGATGAAGTTCAGATAAAAACTTTGTGTTGGTATAATCATTGTGTACATCAGGAACTTAAAAAAAAAGAAAAGTAAATTTCTTTGGTAGAAATTTTCAACACCTGTGGTGTACCTAGGGTGTATTCTTTTGAACAGATCATTCATAAGGGGTGGATGGTCAACAGATACTCCCAAGAAAGAGTAAAAAGATTTTATAGAAGGCTGAGCATCATAACTTTTTTTGGTTAGTGCAGTCTCTTGTGGCTTCGTTGCTTTTTCTTTGTTTGCAGATTTGATTTTCAGGATGCAGGATGAGTAAACAGAKTTTTCAGACTGAACCTTGATGTAATATAATGAAGAAAAAGATTCAAATCTTAAGTACAGTAGGCATGAAAAACTGGGGAAAATCATGGAGGAGAAAGAACCCAATCTTATGGGAGCCTCCAAACATGCTTACCAGCATCCTTCAGGTTTAGGAAGTATTTCCATTTTTCCACCAGTTTTCAGTACACCCCTAGCTATGGCATCTGTGTTTTTATCTCCCAAGGTCTTGTGTTCTTTGGCAGACTTTGAGTTACCCTGCACTGCGTATCATCTCTAAGCCTTCTGCTAAGCTTCTAAGGAATGAGAGCATCAGACTTTATTCTTAGAACTAACACTACCACCATAATGTGCTGTTAAGCCATGGCTCAAAATCTTGCAAACCTATTACCTTTCTCTTATAAATATACACATATTTTTAACTTGTTTTCACTGAGATTGCATCTAGGTTCATGACTGCTTTGCTGAACATTATGTAAGCAATTTTTGGGCAAATGAGTCTTCCAATTTGACTGGCTTTCTGCCCTTAGCATCCAATCCATGTCTGTGATCAGCTGAGCCAAGATCCTCCTTCTGTGTGTGGGCAAAAGGCAGCTTTTCTGACCTGTTTTTATTTATACTCTGATGGTCCCTCTCTAATTCCAGTGTCTTAGAGAAAACCAGAAGTGTGGGAGAAGTTTCTCCTTTGAGGCTGCTTGTGATCCCATAAATTTGTGACTTTTAGAAGTGATAAGTTGTTACAGTCACTAACTCAGTATTTTTTATCAATAAAGCTGTCAGCCATTCTTTGTGAGGGAACATGATAGCTTATGACTGAAGGATTCTGCCCTGAATTACTCATCTTCTGCCTGAATTGTGTTTTGAATTAATTTTTTAAATTTTTCATGGAATTTTGTCAATATTCACTGCTTTTGCTACAGAGGTAGCTGTTWCCTGCTTGATGGTTTCCATAGAACTATCGAGTAGATAACCTGAGTTCCCAAAGTACTGAATGTGATAACTGAAAAGTCTTACCTTTAGCTGATGGAATATGCAGAGCCCACACGGTGTTGGGGTCACAGCGTTACACACTACATCATGCACTCCTAGCTATCACACGTTATACTGGTTTTTGGAAAAGCCGCCTCTAAGGATTTATCTGTGGTAATAAACTTGACTTTACAATCAGTTGAGTAAAGTGAGTTTCTTTGGGTAAGAACTGTACTGAGCCTTTGAAATCTCTGTTACCCATATTTCTTGCTGGGATAAATGCAGTTTTGTTCCTCCTGATGTGGTTTTGGCAGCAAAACAAGATCTGTCACTGCAAAATGCTTATGTGTGAGCATCAAGGTTAGTTTGCTTAGACGCTACCAATCAACAATTAGATGGGAAAAATATATAATTCCTGTTGATACAGCAAGAAAATTTATATATGGGAAGCATCTTCTCCTTAATAAAGCTTTGAAACACCCAGCTATCCAGGTGTTAAGTAGAGTGTTGAAGACCTTTTGCAGCTTTGAAGTTGCAGGTTGGACACTGAAAGTCTAAGGAATCACACATTATTGTGGTTGATGGAACTTCTGTTCTACCTCTTATGTGAGTAGATTGCAAACTGACTCTGAGTGAACAGTTGCATAAATTACTTTCACAGTTTGTCGACAGCAAATTCAGATCCACAGTAACACTCTCATGCACTTGAGCTTAAAGGAATAAATGCGTTCAGAAGGAAATGTTGCCCTTTATTCTTTCACAAATATATATATGTATTTCCTTTCACAAATGAATATATTTTGCTGCCACTATTTGTGATTGCACACCAGGGATATACCTCTACACCTGGAATGTGTGTGAAATATGTAGGTAGCGTTAAGAGGTATTTCTGGTAGAGATAAGGAAAATACTAATTCCATTGTGGAAAATACAAGTAGAAACTTATGCAGAACAGCAGTTTTCAACAAAACAGCTGAGGCAACAGCTAGTGATAGAGAGACACTAAGAAGATGAAATATAAGGGATGATTTTTTCTCTCACAAAAAAACCAAGGATTAAGTATATTTAACWTGGCAAAACTGGGACTCAAAGTATAATTACTCTTTATAAATGTTCTGAGATGTACTTTTCACAGAGGAAGAAAAGTCATTGATACTTCAGGACAGTATATAACAAGAATAGGTGAGTGTATTTTCTTTCAGGATTTTTCACTGCTTTTCTCCAGGCTGCTGGGTTGTTGCACCACTAAAATTGATGGTTTTGTGGTGCTGCAACCAAGCCAGTAACACAATACACTGAAAGATGTGCTGTAGAAGCACGTAATGGTTGGCCAGATAAATTCTGATGTCAATTCAAGGCAACCCTATGTAGTCACTGCACTCTCAGTATTGTTCTTTTTTCCTCAACGTCCTCATCTTTGCATCTAATGCATAGATCAGAGTCGATGCTTCTGAACTGGCTGTGAAATTATCTTTTAAAACTAGAATGATTATTGACTCACACCTTGGGCTCATGAAAGTGGCTATACTGCTTTAGGATCTGAGATCATCTGGTCATATTGTTACCATGTGTGACACTCAGTTGAACTGGTGAACCTACTAGATGTGATTTGTCTGTTGTTGCAGCCAGGTCTTTTGTGTTCTGTGTTTAACCTGCAAAACTAGGGCAGTAACAGAGTCATATGAAAGAAAACTTGCCATCTCTTCCTTTTCAGAACCAGATTGATTAATGTAAATACCATGTAATTGTAATTTGTGTTGAAATTTTACAAAGTCTGCCTCTAATGCAAAGGCTGTTGTAGAGTCTTACAGGTACAATATTTCAGTGAGGATTGTGTAGGTTTCAAAACAGCCATCAGTGCAGTGGTTGGTGTTATCCAAACCCCACGAWTATGCCAGGTTTGCATGTCCCTGGTAATACAGGGAGCTGATRAACTTTCTTAGATGTGGAGCATTCTTGAAATGCTGGTGCAGGCTAAAGCTTTGCTTGGTGTGTGCTTTGTAAAAATAAAAGTGTGYGCAGTATACTGTGCAGTACTTGTCTTTAGAGAATTATAATAACACCATTGAACCATTTATCCTGGTGGTTTATCATAGCAGCCAGCTGCCTTCTGTGCCTTGGCCTAAGGTACACAGACCACTGTTCTCTGGATTCTCAGCCCCCTGAACTGGAAGACAAGGAGGGGGAACAGAATGAAACCCCCATAATCCAAGGGGRAATGTTCAGTGACTGATCCATGCTGTGATGTGTCTAGAGAGGCAATGGAGCTGCTGAGGTGTCTAGGGMAAAGTCTCATGAGGAGCAGCTGAGGGAGCTGGGGATGTTTAGCYTGGAGAAAAAGAGTCTCAGGGGGGACCTTACTGTTCTCTACAACTACTTGAAGGGAGGGTGTAGCCAGAGGAGGGGGATTTTGCTCTTTTCCCAAGTTAGAAGTGATAGAATGAGATAAAGTGGCCTCAARTTGCTCCAGGGGAGGTTTAGAGTGGATAATAGAAAAATTTCTTCATTGAAAGAGTTGTCGAGCATTGCACCAGGCTGCCTTGGGAAGTGGCAGAGCCACCATCCCTGGAGGTATTTAGAAGACATGTAGACAGAAGACCTGACTTAGGCACATGGTTTACTGGTAGACTTGGTAGTGCTGGGTTAGCAGCAGGACTTGATGATCTTAAAGGCCTTTTTCAACCTAAACAATCCTAYAATTACAAACTTAATCATAGAAGTGGGCCTGTTTTTGTAAACTGTTCTTATTTTATTGGTAACAGGATTTGGTTATATCTTGGGACTGGAAAACCTAAGTCTTGCTAATTCTTGTTCTTTGCTCTTTATAGACAATGAATGATTTTGACTATTTAAAACTACTGGGCAAAGGCACGTTTGGCAAAGTTATCCTGGTCCGAGAGAAGGCTAGTGGCAAATACTATGCTATGAAGATTTTGAAAAAAGAAGTAATTATTGCAAAGGTAAGAAAGGTTGTATTTTTAATATTGGGTCATTTTTTAAGAATGGAATAATCAATCTTTAATACATCAGGTGTATTGATTTTTGATGATAATTTGATAGAAGTATGTGTGTATCTTCAGAAAAACAAGAGTGCAAAAAAATGATGTATACCCATTTTGAATGCCTGTTCCTAGTGTTTTATAATCTAGAGTGTGCTAAAATACCGAGAGAGTTTACTGGGCAGGAAGATAAGGCAATCTGAGTTCATACAAGAAAAAGTGCATTGTAGGGTATATTAGATACTTCACATTTTTTTCYAAGTCAGTTGCTGTTTATACAGATAAACATGTATAATTGAATGGGCTAGTGCTCTGTGTGTTATATAAGACTGCTATACATGGGACTAGCAATGAAATTTKTTCAGTTTCTGGGAAAAAAAAGTCTGAAGCTGATGTCTAAGGAAATGGTTTAAACTGGCATTATGCAATCACTGAAACTTGATTACTGTCACTAGCTCTTGTGCTTGGTCATAATACCACTCAAGCTTAAACTTAGATCATCTACACTGAGCTCTGTTTCTCRCAATTCTGAAGTTTTGAATCCCACTTCCACAGAACAAGTTGAAAGCAAGAAACCTAATACATTTATCATGAGACATAATTAAAATAATCCCAGTTATTAAATGAGGACTTTTTGAAGGATGTGGATCTGAGATTTTTGAAGGCTTGAGGCTGACAGTGTCAGTGTCCATAAAAACTGGATATGAATGGGCAAATACTGTTTTACATGTATGAAATATTAAAATATCCTTCAGATTTGCCTGATTTTCCTATTGACCTGTGAAAACAGGGCTTACAAGAGTTTTGCAGTCCACATTCATTTGTCTATCACTCACTTTCTAATAGCTTTAGAACGTGTAGATCAGTTTCAATTAAATTTGGCAGAGAAGCAGAAGCCTCAAAGACAATTGTATTTCCTTGAGTGCCATTAAAACTAGCCCTGTTACAGAGGGAGGAGAAGCAGAAGCAGAGAAGCAGAAGCCTCAAAGACAATTGTATTTCCTTGAGTGCCATTAAAACTAGMCCTGTTACAGAGGGAGGGACTTAAATTTATGTGTTGAGACTGACCCATGAGCTGTGCATGCTCTCAGCATCTCTCTGCKGTGCCCTGGCGCRCTGGTCAGCGTGCACATGGCTGAGACTAACACGGGCAGAGAGCAGAGAGTGCCCTTTCCTCCTGTGGGCAGGGGATGCAGGATSAGCAGAGGGTGTTGCTGCTGAGCTCTCCTGATTCTGCACAGGAAGGAGCATCTCAGTGGCCCTCCTTGTGAGCCCTGGCAGCAATCTCTGTGGTTTGCTCTGTGGCTCTCAGAGCCTGTTTGGTTGCTGCATGCTCTGCCTCAATCTCCAGCCTGATATCCCTCATCATGAATGTTCTGCTCACCCCGGGCATCTGGAGGTCCTCAGGAGGTCTTGTGAGCTGCTGGTTTGTCTCCTTCCAGCCTTCACAGCATTTCAGCAAAATTTTAAATTTTAGAGCTTTTTTCCTAATTACATTTGCAGCTGCTACAGTATCAGTGACATTTTAGAATTGTTAAAGGTGATTATTGGGTAACTTTGTCTAAGGTGAGCAAAGATTCTTGCTCATAGAAGTATGTATGAAGGTAGGGAAATTTTGAAGAAATCAAGRGATGCAACTGTTTAAGTTTGAATTTAGCTATCTAGCCTGGTCAGCATGTGAATGTGCCGTGGGGAATTATCAATAGCATTTAGCTCTGGAGATCAGTGCCAAGGATTTGGCCATTGGGTGGAATAAATCTGCAGCCCCAACTCAGCATGTAAGTGATGTAATACACACTCTAGAATCACAGGATGGCTTGGGTCAGAAGGCACCTAAAAGATTCTCTTGTTCCARCCCCCCTGCTGTGGATAGGGACACTTTCCACTAGACCAGGTTGCTCAAAGCCCCATCCAACCTAGCCTTGAACACTTCCCGGGATGGAACATCCATAGTCTCTCTGAGCAACCCCATCTCAGTGTCCCACCACTCTAATAGCAAAGAATTTCTTCCTAACATTTAATCTAAATCTCTCCCCTGCTAATTTAAAACCATTTCCTCTTGTCCTGTGGCTACCTGCCTGTGTAAAAAGTAGCCCTGTAGAAGGTTATATCCCTAACAGTATAGAATGAAGCAGAAAAGTGGTGCATGGACAGCTGTACGGCATCTGCACAGTTCAGATTAAATCTATTAATCCTAAATTTACATTACAATTAATATTACACTTACCATGAAATTAATACCAGTATTATAGGCTCCTGAGACAATGCTAGAAAAACTGGCCATTGCCAGCTTTTTGTGCCATATATCTGGTGAACCTCAAAAGGTTAAAAATAAATAAACAAACATTTATGCTTGGTTTTCTCCTTGTTTTATTTTCTTTCTGGTTTTCCCCTGTATGTGGTTGTAGTGTATCTACTCAGAGTTGCACTGCTATTCAGCTAAATRCCATCATTATTTATTACCACTGACTCTGTTGTTGTTGTTCAACTTCCTATTTTGACAATTTTTAAAGTCTAATTTAAAACTCCTGACATCTGTGTTTACTTTCCAGTTTAATAATACCTTATCTTCAGAGCACAGTCTGATAAACATGTGTGCAGTACAATAATGTTATATTGGTATTATTTGTGGCAATAATAATGTGTACTCTGACTAAACATATTTACTTCTGCAGGATTACAGTTGAAGTTTGAGTCACACTGGGGTAGTCTTTACTTCTGTGTGGTATAAAGCTCAGCAGTAGCTTAACGCTGCAGAAGATGGCTACACCCTCCTGATGCCTCCCAGGCTTCCCAAGCCTGGCTCCTGGCAGCCTGGTGAGGGGGATTTGCAGCATCTATTAAATGCAGAATTGTTTAAAATGGCTGTGTATTCACAGTGGGAATCCCTCAAGAGCTGAGCTTTTTTCCCTGGTCCTCAGGAGCTGCTCGTGCCGTAGCTCCGGGTGATCCCTCTGCCCACCATCCCGCACAGCTCTGCTCGCTGTGGTCCTGCTGAGGGCTGTGAGTGGCACAGCCCTGCCCTGGCACCTCACTGTCACCCCCTGGCTCCTTCTCTGCCCTCTGCACCGTGCCCATCCCGGGGGATGGCAGGAGGGCCTGTGGAGGGACTGGGGAACAAATCTGGGCGAGCTTCCCCTGAAGCAAATATCCACAGTGACTGAGTTAGTTTTCCTTCTGTCACWTTGGTGCAGAGCTCTTTTTAAATCTTCTCTGTTCAGGCTCACAGACAGAAGTGTCACCGTCTCTCTCCAAAGTGCCTCTTTTCCAAAATGTGGCTGGAAATGAGTTGGGGGTTGTGTGGACACCTCCCACCTTGTTGAGGATGTGTCCTCAGGGAAGGTCAGCCTGGTCAGAGGAGCCCTGCTCACCGCTGGGCTCCTGAGGACAGCTTGGGTGGATAAAAACAAACCAAGTGGAAGTTCCAAACCAGAAAACCTGGCTTTACTTAACGCTTGGCTAGATGAGTCTGGGTTTTATGTTTGCCTGTCGGTTTCTCCGTGTGGACGTGTCTCGCACATTGGTTTCGTCTCTCTGTAGATACATTGCTCAGGTGATTCATAGCAGAGCTGTGAAGTTGTGATGACTATGTTTCCAAGTTATCACATCCAATATTATAATTTCTTCCTTCCCTGAATTGTATCTAAAGACTTCACTTTAAAGCAAGAAAATAAGAAAAACAAATAAAATATGTTAAATCATGTTTTGTCAAATGTTTTCTCAAAAAATGTGAAGGTTCATTCATTTTTCAAAACTGTATGGTAGTTTTCTCTTTTTGAAAGTGTTGCCTTTTTAATTACAATTAATTCAATAATTATAATTAAATGTTATATCTTAMTTCAGACCTACTTCTCTTTATTTCTCAGGATGAAGTGGCTCATACTCTTACAGAAAGCAGAGTATTGAAAAACACCAGACACCCTTTTTTAACAGTAAGTATTGGGAACTAGTTTTAAGTACATTAGCAGGTAATACGTAACATCCATTATGAACATATTTAACAAATGTTTAAGTCTTTCTCATGATTTGTAAACARTCAGTATCTATCTGGTGCTTATGATATCCTTTATCAGGATATGTAATTAAGAGTTCAGAAATAAAGTTTCTAGTRATTTTATAATGCTTAACTGTACTGAAAACAAATTCAATTGTAGAACTGTGTAACTGTTGTGCAATGTTTTGTAATTTTTGTATATGAATACTTTTAAAATAAARGTTATGAATTTCACAGAGGTGTAAGTATTTTTTACCAAGAAAATTTAATTAAGAATTCAGTAAAACAACAAAAGTAACTAGTTGTTTGACATAAGTAGCTCATAGAGCCACAAAACTCAAGCCCCACTACCTTTGTCTTCATWTGGTTAATATTTAATAAAAGGGAAAGACTAAAGACATGAAACTTTTGAGACTCATGACAAATTACGATTAATTGATTTAACTTTACAGCTGATGTTCTTTTGTAGAAGTAATTCTGATTTCTCTTCTTTGAGAAATATTGGAAAATATTTTCATTTATTTCAAAATATAATGAACATATTTTTTACAACAGGGGTTTTTAAATTCTTTTTTTTTTTTTGTGTAAAATATCAAAGCTTATTAATGGAAGCTTTCCTATTTAGAAAAAAACAAGCCTTTTGGAAAGCAGAGGATTGCATTTACATTGTTTGGCCAAAATATTATTGGAAATTCAGCAAAGACAAAAGAGATCCTGCAACATTTGTTAAATTAGAGTGTAATGGTCAGCAGGAGCAGGGGCACATCCAATCAAATAATGCAACAATGTTACTGCWGTTGTTTCCTCTTACCTTTCTGTTATTCTTAAACAACTTTTGTACTGAGAGGTGCAGTTTAGTCACGAGTCTTGATATGCTTRTTACACGTAGTACCATACTTAATTTCTCTTAGGCCAAGTCTTCATCTGTAGATTTTCTATGGTATCATTGATAAGTCAACATTGATAAGTCACAAATTTTAATTAAGATAACATCCATTGTGACTTTGAARTCATATGGAAATTAATATATTAATTTGGCACTCAGCCTTTTTAACATTCCATAATATGAAATCAGAGAGTCTTTGCTTTGGAAATTAAAGCACGCTGGAAGTTAAGATCACTTTTAAGATTTCATTTGGGAGAAATGAAAATGATAATCTTTCTCTTCATGGGCACTGTGCATCATAAAGTACAATGAGAAGGAATAGCTGGTACCATGTATGGCAGTAAGAAATGAAGTGTAAAACTGTGTGTTTCAGTAGCCATTTAGCACTTYGTTGTAATAAGCATGATGCTTTCATATCAGTGTACATGTGGCAGAGATGAGGAAACACTTCAACGTTTTTGTGTTACTTCATCTCAAGCTCCAAAGAGGAAGTTACATATTTAATTACTGTGAAAGTTCTTACCAGAGTCAGAGCTTTCTACTTAAAAAAGATAGAATTAAGTTTTGTTACAGTTTAAGTGCAAGAACTTGGGTTAATATAAGATGATAATTGGTTTGATTTTGCTGTTTTCTTTGCAAGTCCTTGAAATATTCCTTCCAGACAAAGGATCGTTTGTGTTTTGTGATGGAGTATGTTAACGGAGGAGAGGTAAGTATAAGAAAGATGTTCTGCATTTGTAATAGTAAGGCTGGTCCTGGATTACACTTTAAAGGTTTTCATTTTTCTTGCCTTTTTTTGCTTTCTAATATTTTTGAGGGGCTTTTAAAAAAAGTTTGTAACTGTCTTATTTAAAATAAAATGGTTGACATGTTTTTATAACTTTGCTGTCAAAACTAGTTTTCCTATTCTGAAAAAAAATTAGATTGCTGTATAGTGAGAGATAATGCTAGAGAAATAATCACATGTAGCTCACTTACTTTTTTTCTTTAAGCATATTATAGCATGTTCTGGCATAAACYGGTCATAATCCATTGTAAACAAGTAAAAATAAYGTTGATRAGTCTAACTTYTGTCCTAATATGAAATGTGRTACAACTATTAGAAATATCTATTGGAAAAGAGTGGAGCATTCACTGCCTCTCTCCCCTTCACTTGTTGTGTACTCTGGAAATCTCAGCTAAAGCACTAAACTTCTTAGAGTGTTGTTAGCTTTGAAGCCATTGCTRTCCTCCAGCTGTTTGCTAAGGAATGAAATATCCAAAATATACCCAGCAAATGGAATTAGAGAACTGCAGTCTAAGAAGAGGGCTTTTATTTACTTTTTGGGAGCTGTTTTTTATTCAGTCTGTCTCTTGGTATAACATGAACTGGGGGGATTTTCCTTATTTTGTCAACTATGCTTCATGATAATGTTAAAGGGCTAAGTGTTTCAGCTAGAAGGGTTCTGGGGTTTTGTTTTGTTTTTTTTTCCCTCTAATTAAAAAACTTTTTCTTCATTCAGGAATTGCTGTGTCATGATACATAATGTTTTCCATTATGTTTTTTCTACCACCTCCTGCAATTAAACTGTGTTTAGCTATAATCTCAATGCCTGTGGCCCATTTGGATCCCAGCTTGGCCATGGCTAAATGTGGTGGTATAGGGTGCTCATGTGGGAGGACGGCTTGTGTGACTCAGTGTATAAACCCAGCTCTGCACATCACAGGCATTGAGCCAGATACAAAAACCTCCCTTGGTTTTTGTAAGCAGTAAAGGCATAAAAATCTTCTCTTGGACACTTAGCTGGCTTATTTGACATTGAACTTACATCACCAATGTTTGAGACAGTGCTGTCTGCAATGAGTTTTAAGTATTATCTTATAAACTAGCTAATACTTCAYAGTTTTGTCTGTGAAAGAGTTTACTGCATTTCTGTAATTTTTGGGGATGCAATTTGAAACTATGTGTTTAACATCATCCTATAATTTAGCCATTTGTCTTTTTGAAAGGTACTTTTCCATCCTGTTTGAAAGCAGAGCAGAGCCCATGGAGGATGTTTTCARCTCCTTTCTTATGACTGAGGATGCTCTGACTGTATTTAGGTCAAGTGTAGCTTGATCAATGAGTTTCTGTGCATTGGGTGGCGTAACTTTGTGGTTCCTACTGCAAGTGTTGTGTGTCATGGGTTTGTCGGTGGCAGCCTGCTTTTGCTTATGGGGTTGGAGCAATTGCAATGTACTCTGCCAGGACTGGGTTACTTTCTTCCAGGTGTGATGCTCCTGTTTGTCAGTGTTGCCCGTGTTCTTTGCTGAGGGTTCCCTAATTCAGTGGAGCTGACTCTGAAGTATTGTCACAGTGGGAGATAATGGCCTTTTTGAGAGAAGGGAGGGAAGGGAGAGAAGAAGCCCTTCTCTGAGGGAAGTCTCTTGATTTGCTTACCTACTTCTCTTTGACAAGAGAGCTGGAATAATAAGTTGGACAGATTTTAATAGGAAAATGTTTAATATCTTTACCCAATTTAAGTCTTTACCCAATTTTCTTGTGAATTTCAGACTTTAGTCACTATCTGCCATAAAATACAGAGCATTTCATATTTGGAAATATTAGCCTTGTTATTAGCTCAGAGCTACTGAAAGTTAGATTGCTTGAAGCTTAGCCAGCATTTTAACCTGTATTATACACAGACTTTATTTTGCTGCTRCTATCTACTAGGTCCTGTGTTCCAAGGACCCTGCATTTCCTTATATTTTCTGGCTATTGAAGGTGTTGAAAACTTACCTTTTAAYGATATCCTTGCAGTGGAGAATTGACTGTAGATGTACCATGCTCATTTTGAGTCTCTCCAGTGCTGTACTACATTCAGTGTGCTTCTGTTTAAATTTCCTTTATATTAAATATTTCTTTTCAGGTAGACTGTTTTTCCTGAGTGAGTTTATTGGGAATTTTCATGGATTCTGTCTTCCTGGAGTACCATTACCTAAACAGTTCTYCTCATGAAGGAGTTCTTGAAATTTGTATACATATTCTTGACTCCTACGTAGGTGAAAGCAAGAAAATGCTACAATTTAGGCTTCTGCCCTAATAGAGTAATAAAAACTGTGGTCAGTAGTAGGAGTCTTCGGTTCTTCTTGCTATGGCTAGAAAGAAAAACAGTCAAGGAAAAAGGCACAGTTTTTCATTCTGGAGGGGAAGAAATTGTATTAAAATGATTGKAAGGAAAAATCTTTTGTATCTAGAAGCTTGGTGAAGTTAATGTCCCTCTAGAATAGTAACAATTTATCTTTGCCTTGCCTTGCCTATGAACTTCAAGTTAAGTCAGACTCAGTGCATAAGAGAACACATTACAATGAAAATATAACTGCATCAGTTGTACTGGTCTCTGTGTGTGCTCTTCTACAGTGTACAAAGTGTTACAGTGAAGAATTCTCTTTTGGCTTCCTTTTAAAAAAAAAGCAGTGTATTATGTATTGAAATATACTAAAGCAAACCATTAGAGGATTTTTTCAAACAGGGTTTTCTGATGGAAATATAGAATATATTTTGCTTATACTGAGAACTTTTTTTTTGCTGCCTAAGGCCCAATCTTGAAATGATTGTTGTGGGCTGAAAWTAATTTTGTGTTTGTTTGGTTTTGCTGTTGGACTGCATGAATGAAATGTTTACTGATGTCTATTGATCATAAACTATGCTGCAGTATGTAGCTAGAAAGATACTTCTGCCACTGTGATTATTTCTCAATATCTTTGTTGTACAGAAATAATTACATTAAAGTTGCATTAAGAAATTGAAATTTGGTTTTAAGAAAACAAATATTCATCTGGCATAACTGAGATGACCAAAAAGGCTCTTTATTGTTGGGGAATACTTTTAGAGTATATGTTTCCCAGTTTTTATTTCCAGTATTTTGCTTTAAAGGTTGAAAAGCTTTTAGGCACAAAATATATTGCATACACTACTCTGCAGAGTACACTGATTCAGCTGACTAATAAGTTGATTAACTTCCTCATTCTGCATTTCCAGGATAATTCCAGATTCTGTACTTTGTAACAAATTTAATTGATAATTATGTGTATAGTAAAATTAGACCCTAAAATTTGTTCCGATGGTTCTCCACACAAGAATTCTGAATCTCTGTTCCTCTTGGCRTTTTTGTACCACAGCTCTTACTGCAATTCATTAGGCAGGAGAGAACTAAATGGCTTGTTGTAATTGAACGAGTGCTATTACTGTCTAGAAAAAAAAAAAGAAGAAAAAGACAGAGGATTTACAGCCTACTTAACAAAAAATAAGTAAACAAGAAAAAGTTGCTTAGCCTGAAATGATGATAGTCCATGATAAGGGTGCTATATTTCTTTGGGTATAGAACGTGCCTAGAAGCAGTGCAGAATCTGAAACAATAAACAAATAATTCAAAATTTCAAAGCTGCTACTGCAAGTGCTTTGCAAAATCAACACTCAAATCTAAAATGCAGAGCTGAGCAAACCCAATACACAACAGCAAAAGCCAGACATTCAACTTACAACATGCTAAGTAGGTCACTAGCGTGTGTACAAGTTTAACATATCAATTGATACAAGGTTKTGTTCTTTTATGTATTTGGCATGCGTGAATCTGCAGCTGAATGTACTTCTGTGTTTCATCTTCGTTAAAATTTTCCCATTAAATTTTTTTATTAGGAGGAAACCCCATGGCAGCATTGTTGTTGAGGTTTTAAAGGCATACTAGGAAATTTGTAGCTCCAGTCCTCACTGTAACAATAGCACCCTCGTGTATGCCATCAAAAATGTTATGTGCAAAATGTCTTTCTTTGTGCCAAAGCTATTTCTATTGCAATCCCAGTGATTTTATAGCACATATTTAATAACTCTAAATCAATAAATAGTGCAAATGTTGGAAACCTTTTTTATAACCTTCAYCACATTTCGTCTTTTCCTTCTCTGACTTAATAAATATAATCTTCCTGTCCTGACAATTGCAAATAGAACACAGTGGCAGAATTGTACTSAAATAGTGAACCAGCTAAATAATTAGCTGAAAATTATGCTGTAATCCTCCTGTAATCTCCCTGCTCTCCCTGTTATAATTTTAGAATCTGCTTAATATCTTTAGCATGTGACATATCTGACTGTATGAATGTGCTTTTAATGTGTATTTTTATATCTCAATATACATTCCTCATTCAARACTAGCAAGTATGGTTTGGTGACAACTCTGTTAGGTGCTACAATAATATGAAGAAGAGTGACTGTAGTGTCACATAGATATTAAAATAAACTGACTCAGAAACTCACAATTTCTTTGACAAACACAGAACTGTTGTTACTTGTTTCTAGATTGTCATTTTACTTTAAAGTTAGTATCTTTGATTAATATCAATAATCTTGTTGGAAATAAACACTGAAGAAAATAAACTTTTCATATGTTAACTTGTCAGACTCTCAACTCTCAGATTCATATTTGGGACATTTTTAAAACAGAAACTAAAACAAATGGGTTGGTGACAAGTATCCTGAAGTTTCAGAATTTTCTAAGACTATTCAGCTACTGGGGTAGTCTCTTTCAAACAGCAAATTGCAATACTCCTTTAGAATAGATATGAATCCAGGGCTGTAAGTTACGTAAGTTATAAATTTTCAGAGCTTGTTGAGCTATTTTTATTATTTTTAATCCATCAAAACAAAAAAATACCCTCTTAAAAATGAGTGACATTAGGTCTTCCTTAATGAAAAAGACCATAAAACARACATAAATGTATAAGTTGCATAWTTTTTTGTATTTTTCTTTATGTGATCGAAGTTCTATCTAGCATTATTTGTTTTCTTTTTAGATACTGCATTAAATAGCCAGAATGTCCTTTCTCAGACGTTCCAAGTTCTGAGGGTGATGTTTTATCCATTAAGACACTGACAACCTTACAGAACTTTGCCTTACACTTTTTCATTGCAGCTGAAATTACTGGTCGTACATAATCATTATGTTTTGCTGAAAGACTTGKAAGTGTCTGCGAAGTACTGTTACTTTAAAAGTATTAAAGAAGAGACAAAACACCCAAAGCAATGTTGATATTGTAGCAAAGAAGTACACTAAATACATAGATTTGTTTTTTAAGCCCTAAGCAGTTGTTGGTTTGCTTTTTCTAGCGGCTGCTATTGCTAGCAGTATGAATGTGTGATTTGTAAAATACCAGTTTACCTGTTCAGTTCAAGTCAGTGGAAGAACTGGACTTTTTTCAGTTCAAAGAAAAGTTACTAAAGCACTGAAAAAYGTGAGTCAGGACCATAATCTATATATTGTAGGGATATTTCTCAGTGGCTTAAAGCAAAAATCTGAGGAAGTGGCAGAGGGAGAAGCATCATCAACAGAATGGTGCTGTTACATACTTTTTTTTTTTCCTCTGGTAACTGAAGGTTAAATGAGTAGCAAGCAGAATGCCTTAAACAAGATTGGTATATTGATTAAAACGCTGATTTAACAGCTCGCTTTCTCCCTTTGGAAACCTGGAAAAGATAAGCCAGCTGCTGTCTAAGAGTGCTGAGTGTCCACTGAGAGTACACTATCTATCATCACAATATGGTGATGAGAGGTGTTTTATGTTTGTGTTAATTTCCCCCACTAAATCAGTAATTATTACAATCCTGTCCCTGCTGTTTACCCTGCAGCTGTTTTTCCATTTGTCGAGAGAGCGGGTGTTCTCAGAGGACCGCACACGCTTCTATGGTGCAGAAATTGTCTCTGCCCTGGACTATCTGCATTCTGGGAAGATTGTGTACCGTGATCTCAAGGTAAAAAAAAAAAAAAAAGAAAGAAAGAAAGAAAAAGTAATCAAATTTTTGTTTTTGCAGAGACTGTGGGGACAAACACAAAGTAATTATAAAGTTCACTATTCAGAGTTAATGGGAAAAAAAAGTCTGCGTTCAGTTTTAAGTTCTGTGTGTGCTGGAGGAAGTTGTTTGATGTAGTAATCTCTAGATGGGTACATTCCCCGTCTTTAACTTGATTAGAAAATGAAACAGGATACTGTGGTAGCCACACTTGAAGGAGATTTAAGCTTCTGATCCTCATCCTCCCCACCCTTTGCCCTGTTACTTATAACTTCACTTAGATTTCAGCACAAATCTCAAATATAATTCTCAGTGTTCCCAAACAAGGGAAATGGTGAACTGGGACAATGTGACTGCATTCTTTTTATCTCAGCAAAGAGGTGTGTCTGTATGCTTTGAAAACATTTAAAACAATTCAGAATACCTCCACAGGAAAAGAATTTCAGCATTAATTTCAAAATTGTTTTGTCTTCTCTATCTTGAGAGAGATTTGTATTATTGGAATGTAGTTTGTCTTAGATTTGCCATTGTATAAGCCTGCCTGGTACTCTGTGGCTCCAGGTACTGTGACACAGTATGACCACATTCTGTGGAAAAATAATCCTGTTTTCAACAGGAGCATTTTCTAACTTGTGTGGGAGGAACCTCTAAATTCCGTGATGAGACAATTTTACTTCTGTGTCAAGCCTTTCATTTCATGTGCAGGAAGTTGTGCTTTTCTTTTSTGTTGTAGATGCACAGTAGTGGAATTCATTTGTGGAATCCTTTGTACAGGAATTGAGGAGAAGGAGGCAATGGTAGGCAAGGTCTGCTCAGTGAGGCAGACCGAAAGCAAAATACTGGGTTACCTGCTTGTAGCAGAATCTGTCATAATGATGTGAAATGCTGTGGCATCCTGGGAAAATAAGATGGTCAAAAAATGATAGGTGATAATTTTTTATTTAAATTCCAAATAATAAGGAAAGAGGAGTTAATCATTAATCTTCTATTTCTCATGTTGTCTACTTTGCATTTTCTTTGTATGACACTTAAACTCAACAGGAAATCTGTACCTTTGAATTCTATTTCAGGCATTATGCAGATTTAGAAAGACAGGGCTAYGATTGTTCTGTGTTGGTATTTTCACTACATAGTTTTATAGTTTGAAAAAAAGTCCCAAACTATTTTCTGTTGAGTTGTTCAGAACTTTTATCTTGGTTTCAGTTCTATCTGTATTTCAGGTATGGCTAACTAAAACCTGTTAGGAAAGTGATATTAGCCATTATTCTGAATGTTTTCACACTTCAAATTCTATGATTCTTGAGAGAACTAAAAGGCAATGCAAAGCATACAGAGGTACACATTCACAAAGTCAAGAAGTGTAGTTTGCAAGTAGACAAGGAGAAATTTACCTGATGGGTTTTTTTTCAGTAGCTGCCCTATCCCCACTTCTCTCTATTATTGAAAACGTTCTGGAAGATGGAGGTATTTTAAGGATTTATAGTTACTTGCTGTTTCATGACAGTACAGCAAGTAAGAGGTATCTTGGTAAGTGGACATCATGTAAAAGCAAAGGAAACCTATGGGGTCATTGACCTGAGGTTTATTATTGTAAACTATATTAAAGTATTACCTAATTATGTAACTTGTATGGCAGCAAACTCTGTTAAATTCTGTAATATAATAGATGATGTATTTTTTTTTAAATTACAAGTTATTTACATTCTTTTGCAAGGAATAGCTCCTTTTTTACAAAATTGATGTAATGCATCAATCTGCCCTGTTGAGAAATACTAAGGGAATATTTTTCTCTCAAACACAGTTAGAAAATCTAATGTTGGATAAAGATGGACACATAAAAATTACAGATTTTGGACTTTGCAAAGAAGGAATCACAGACGCGGCAACTATGAAAACATTCTGTGGTACTCCGGAATACCTGGCACCCGAGGTATGATTTAGAATATTTTCTTATAATACTGTATAAAAKGTTTCTTTTCCATGTAATTTTAGACTGACAGTCTGCCTGATTAATACTATATAGCTGTTATTGGAAGTGGAATGTGCTGCTATTCCTTGTGGTGATTGTAYATATATTGATGCTCTGCTTCTTGGTGTTTAAAAAGGCCTCTAACGTGCGTTCTCCCTCTCGTGTTTGCCTTCCTCTGTTAAAGTTTTTATCTTCCGATGATTTCTTCAAAAATAATCTTCCATCTGTCTGTCACTTGGAACATATGATCCTGCTTAACTGAGCTGTAGAACTAGCATTTATATAGCCTCAGTGGAGGCGAGGGGGAATAGGAGGGTACTGAGTTTGATTGGTTTCATCCAAATTCCCCGGTTGCGGGGAGAGTGAGTTGAAATTTTAGAATTYCTGCTAAAAGCAGTTGAGTGTATCAACCTCAGAACTGGTTGAGGTGGGCACCAAAACTGGTTGTTTCCTGATATGTGAGCAGAAGTGGCATCTCAGGGCGTGTCACCCACCCCATCTTTGCCATTAGCTGGCACTCGGAGTCCCAAGCATCCCGCTCCTCCAAGGATTGATAAAGAGATGAACAGCAGGACATTGCTCTGGTTCCCCTTGCAGCTCTGGTTTGGCYGCCTGAGAATCTGTTGTGGGAGCTCAAGTGATCCAAATGATCTCCAGTATCAATGCTGATAGCTCTGCCACTGAAAAAAGGCAAGGGAAGGACAACCAAGATTGTGCTTTTTTGCTGCCTGGCTTCAGTCAACAGTGCTGACTGTGGTGTTCAGAAATGTCACTGCCTCTCCTCAGGGACTGCCAAATGCAGCTCAGCATTGATATGAAAGGCAGCCTAATTTTTTTACTCAATGCTGAGGATTCTGTGGATGCTGAATTAGCCCTTATTTCCACTCTTGTCAGTGTTCAAGATTGCCAATTGCCATAGTGCACACCTGATACTGAGATAACTTTCTAGTCAGCCTAAAGGGCTTCAAAAGGCCCTTGAGTTCTACCATTGGGTTTAAGAAAGATTTAAAGAGTTTTCAAAGGGGTTTCCCACCTCTTGCAGCTACTCAGAACTACAATAAATTCTTGTTACTACGTATTGTCTTTGAAGAAGAACATGCCTTAGTCTAAAAGGAGAAGTCACTGATCAGACATAGCTCTTTAATCTCTTATTTTCAGCAGTACTAAATCCTCAGTAGCAGGCACAAGCACTGGAGTCTGTTTCAACAAGCAATTCTGATTGCATTTGGGTTTTTATTCYAGATCTTACAATTAAGGGTGTCAAAGAAACTGGTACACATCGCCTTCTGAATAGTGCTGGCTGGAAATTAGGATTTTAGGATTTGTAGATTTGTGGATTTAAAAGTCTTTTTGAATTTCTGAAATTTAAAGTCCTTTCCAGTTTCCAATCATGGAGGAATTTGAAACTGCTAATAGTTGGTTATAAGTCAATATGGTAGGAAGAGTTAATGAAATAATTTTGGATCGTGGCAAGATCATTTGCTCTTTCTCCAACATTAAAGRAAACATCAGTATTTTTAGGAGCCACTGACTTTCTCGTCATCCATCTGGTACTATCTTCCTTGATTCTTTCACCAATGAAGAGAAATCTGAACAGTCATACTCTCACTCTGAAGGGCTAAAGTACCTAAATAATTTTGGTTGGCTAAATGTGCTTATTTCAGCTGTTTGGTGAGTCACTGGCTATGTGAGCTATGAAGATAAACTCACTGATACCTGGCTTCCTTCGCAGAATTCCATCTCACAGACTCCAAGGAAGACTTGGATGCAGGTTGTTACTATTCTGTTAGGCAATTTCTGACCTCTCCTTTGTGTTTAGTGCAGAGACAGTCAGCAGATGTTTAAGAATTCCTAAACTATTTTTAGCCTGCTTTGAGCATTTTATGTCTGCCTAGAAGAAGTTGCAGATCTGTTTCTTTGACTTGGTGCAGTGGCCACTTCTCTTGTGTGTGCCAGGTCTTACCCTCTCACTTGCCAGCGGTCTTAAAGACATCCTCTAAGAGTACAAATACCCATTCAGTTGCTTTCATCTGCTTCTCCTCATCTCACTTTTGAAAACATGTTAGCTCTCTTTCATCAAACTTGGAGAGGCATCATTCTGGGTTTTAGACACTCAGCACAAGTTACTTGATCCAGTTTGCTTTTCTATTCTCTAGAAGCCCCAGTTCTCTGCTCTACCTCCCATTATGAGTATTTTTGAAGACCCACCCTATAAAAATCTGTCTTGAAGRAAATTGCCTCTTCATGAACCCTGGGAACAAGGGAACTCACTCCCTTTTTCCTCAGAGATAAAGGGTTTTGAGCGGGCAGCCTAGACAGGTTACTGAGTGGTGTGAGAAGACTCAACACCTTTATCTGGATAGCTGCTCGCCTGAAACAATTTCTGTCAGGGGAGCTGTATCAGAAAGGGACTGTGCAGAGCCTGGGTCCTCCAGTCTATTCGTGTGCATGGTTCAGGGAACAAATGCACAAAAATCCCWTCTCTTTGCAGTTCAAGCCACAGAAATCACTATCAGGTGACAGAGATTTACTACCTTGTGACAAACTTCAGATCATGAGAACCTAATGTTGCAGCTGGACCTTAATCCTGTTGCCACTGTGAATTCCTGCCTGTCTATCCCGAGACAAATGGCAGCATGTACTTGTTTTGCATGGTCATGCTAAGTTTAAAGGCAGATACCTTTCAGCTATTTTTTAGAAGCAAGAAATTAATTCTCCAGTTATGTGGAGAAATCTATCAATCATCTGTCCTTTTAATAATACCCTTGCATCCTATTTTTTTCATCTGTGTCAGCTGTGATGGATGCATCCCTTCTGCAGTCTGTTCAGTTGCGTTTCCCATTCCCACTTTCTGGCTGGTGGTAGGGGACACTAGAACAGGACCCTGTGTAACCCAGGGGCTGTCTGAGATTGCTGCCTGCCATCCAGGAGCATTGCACTGGTGGCAATCTGCACSTACCTGAAAACTGACTTAGTATTTCCTTTTGTATTAATTCAGTCTTGTGGTTTTGATTCCAAACAAGTGCTTATTTCTCCAGGTGCCTTTTGCACCACTGTTTGAGGCATGGAGTTCTGCTTACTATTCCATCTTCTTGCAAAAGCTAGGTTGCAGATGCTTCCAACAGTAAAACAGGGAGCTAACTAAGCCAGAGTAAGATGTATTTCCTCCTCACATGATCTTCTCTCAGGGGAAAGTGTCTTTGCAGAATTATTTCCCAAGATGATTTCAGACTTACTCTTGATCAGGAAATAAGCCTGTCTGTTGCTGCATTTTCCTCACAGACCTGATRTTTCTGAGATCAAAATAGTTCTTTTGACCCTCTGTTGAAAAGGCTCTTTCATCTCACATTGATAGGACCTCTCAYATAGGGCCTGACACTGACTGTGTGGTAATTAGGAGATCCAGAAAAATGCCCTATCCATGCAGAGATCAAATGCATGGTGGGGTACAGGAAAAAACTGTAAGGAACTTGCCAGGTTAGAGTCAATTTTCATCTGTGAAGTAGAATTACTTTTCTKAACCATCACTGATTTATTGTTTGTGGAACCCATTTGGAAGTTCATGTGTACCTTCACCACACACTGAGCTGCTCAGGGCTTCTGGATCAGTGGTCTATAGGTGCATTCCCTTTCTATTCTCCTCTCCTAGTCCTTCCCTGTTATTCAACACCGGTTTTCTACAGTTTAAAGAAAATTTAAATAGCACTGACTGTGTTTGTCCTGCATCRCTGTGTACCAAACATAAAAGACTGTAGGGTAGGAAGAAAATAGTTGCCACTGCCAAATATCAGGGTTTATATTTGCTAACAGTACAGATGTACATTTTTGACGCTTATTGAAGAATGAGTAAGTAACTTTTTATTTGTGAAATTGTATGGTCTTTTGAGAATAATTTAGTGGTGTGATAAATACTGAAATTACTCTTATCATCTGCAGTAGAATTAACACAAGCCTAATTTTTGTGTGTGTGTTTAAATGTAGCTGTAATACTTAATGCTTCCCTCTGTTGTAAGATTCCCTTTTTGGAAGGTATAAGATATGTTACAATTTCTCACTTAGTAGTTTTTCAGGATGAAGAGACTATTTCTTAGAAATTTATTTCCATTGTTATTCTTCAAAGTAAGCTGTCACATTAGGGATCATTGTGGTATCAGAAAATATTCATAGATCTAATGAGAAAAGGATGAATTGTGATCCCATTTAGGGAACACAGATGTATGCTTGACTTTTTTTTAAAAAAAGACTTCTTTTGCAGTTTTTGCAGTGGCAAAGGCAGCACAAAACYTTGTCTTTTACAGGCAGTATCACTTGCCTAATAAGAAAAGAATAAAACCAGGAAAGTACTTGCAAATACACCAGTGAGACTTTAAAAAGCCATTTGGAATTTGATAGTTTTCGGTTGCGTGTCAAGGATGAGGCCTTCTAATAGGGATACAGACTGGAACAGACCTTCTTTAAGAGAACATTCAGGAAATGAAGCTACTTGGGCAGAGAGGTAAAAGTTCTTTAAGTTCTGATAATTTAAGGATGTTTTCTTAGGTGAGATTGCAGTTCCTGGGTCTCTGTATTTCAGTTCAAGCTCTTAGGACTAAGTGTGCAGTCTTTGTTATAGGAGAGCAGTCAAATGGTACTAAGTTTTTGGCGTCATGGGAGAGATAAGCTTAAATACCAGCAATTACTTTTGAAGTTTTGAATCTTTTTAATAACAGGAGAGAAGTTGTTTTGACAATGAACAAATCTGTAAGGGACTTCATGGATGTCATTCCAGTGATTCTTTTAAGATGTGGATGATCAAGGATATGTAGATCTATTCTAACAAAAGGGAATGGTAGGATRTCATTATCTTGTATTGGTATAAAAGTACTGATTAAGTGGCTAAATGTGTACAAAATTGTTCATATGTACAAGCGAGATGGGTGCATTCCTATGCGAACAGTTGCATTTTATTTAAAAAAGCAAGC